ACAATCTTGTGATCCACCAAATGGATGTTAAAACGGCATTCTTGAATGGTGATCTAGAAGAAGAGATGTATATGAAGCAACCAGAAGGTTTTATCCTATCGGGACAAGCATACAAGGTGTGCAAGTTAGTCAAATCGTTGTATGGGTTGAAATAAGCACCTAAACAATGACATCAAAAGTTTGATGAGGTCGTTTTGGCTAATGGATTTCGTCTGAATCAATCAGACAAGTGTGTATATAGCAGGTTTGATGATAACGGTCATGGAGTTATCATTTGCTTATACGTGGATGACATGCTCATATTCGGTACAGAATTAGAGCAAGTCAAGAAGACAAAAGACTTCTTGTCATCGAAGTTTTCGATGAAAGACTTAGGTGAGGCTGATGTTATCCTAGGCATTAGGATAAAACGGGATCAAAGTTCGATAACACTATCTCAATCACATTACGTAGAGAAAGTGTTAAAACGATTTGATATGTTTGAAAGCCCTCCGGCTTCTACTCCGATGGATTGTAGCGCTAAGTTTGCACCTAACAATGGGGAACCAGTAGCTCAACTTGAGTACGCTAGTGTCATTGGTTGTTTGATGTATGCTATGACTAGCACTCGACCTACGCGATAGGGAAGTTGAGTAGATTCACGAGTAGCACAAGCGTACATCATTGGAATGCTGTACGGAGAGTACTTCGGTACTTGAAAAAGACAATTGATTATGGTCTACGCTACACGGGTCAACCTTCAGTGTTAGAAGGATATACCGATGCGAGTTGGAACTCTAGTGAAGAGAATTATGCCTCAGTGAGTGGATGACTTTACCTTTTAGGTGGAGCGGCGATTTCTTGGGCTTCCAAGAAACAAACTTGCATTTTGGATTCGACCATGGCGTCGGAATTTATCGCCTTAGCAGCTACTGGGAAAGAAGCAGAATGGCTAAGGAATTTGGTATTCGAAATACCGTTATGGCCTAAACCGGTATCGCCTATTGCAATACATTGGTATAGTGTTGCGACGTTGGCTAAGGCATACAACCATGTTTATAACGGAAAGTCTAGACACATCGGTTTAAGACATAGCTATGTGAATAGTCTGATTAAAGACGGGGCCATAATGGTGGTTTTTGTGCGGACCACACAAAATTTGGCGGATGCTTTCACAAAACGTTTGCCAAGGGACGTGGTACACAAATGTCACAAGGGATGGGACTAGAGCCAGTTTTATGAATTGCAAGTAAAGGAATCTCAACTCAACGTCTAGTACAACGCTAGATCTTGAGTTCAATGAGTTAAATCCTTTACTATGTGATTGTAGATGCTTCACGACAACACATCCCGAGGTAAGCATCTAGGTTATGCAATGTAAAGAGGATGTTTTAACTTAATGAGTCCTTTGACAAAGTGCCTAGTTGCAGGGCACGATACCATATAGGATTCACCTATACAAGCATGAAGTGAGGCCGCTTCAAGATGTTGGTGGCTCACCATCCGTGTGCTTGTGAATGGATATGGACACATGGCCGTTATAGTGTCAAGGATTGCAGAAAAACTTGTAGTGACTTTGTGTGTGTTTTGTACTCGGTAGCTCAATTAGGATTACTAGGTTCAATCGTTTCGACACCTATGTAATTCGAGTTTATTGTTGTACGTTACACTAAGTGGAAGTTCAATCGAAATATACTTTCATTTATGCACAAAGTTGTGAGGATGACGGATTGTCGCTTGGTTTCCATAGACAACCTACTCTAAAATGGTGGAGGATTGTTAGTTATTTTAGAATAGATTGGTGGACTTTAAAATCTCTCAAAGGATTCTTGTTTCACGTGTATTACAAGTGTGGTGGAGGAGTAAAATGCTTGTAAAAGACGTGTCGTGAATTGGTTAAGTGTTAAGGATTAGTCGGAAGATATTGAAGGTGGCTCGTTTTTCCCGATAAAATAAAACTGGAAAAAATGAGCGACAGCTGGAAAAATGAGCGACCGCTCAGGAAAATGAGCGGGTAGCTAAATTTTTCTGATGAACAAAACTGGGGACAATGAGCGATCGCTCGGAAAATGAGCGACCGCTCAGAAAAATGAGCGGGTAGCTCATTTTCTCTGATGAACAAAACTGGAAAATGAGCGACCGCTCCGAAAATGAGCGACCCGCCTGATTTTTCTGAGTTGTTCAAAATGAACGAAAAATCGTGTCTGTTCGGAAAAAACTTCCCTATCTTTGCATCTTTTGACTTCTGGAGTGTTAAAAAACATTCCTAGACGTCTGAACACAAATGGATGAAATCGAATTGGTTTTTTGAGAGATTTGTAAACCTTGTTGGTGAAGAAACTTGCTACTTCTTCTCCATCTTTTACTGTTCATCTTCTTTCTCGGGTTTTTCTGTTTCGGGCAACGTTTGAGGAGCATATCAATCGTTGCTGGTCTTTTTTGTATCTCTAAACGTATTCTCGGGATTCTCCTTTGCTCGGTGGGGAGAGAATAACGTTTTAGGAAAGTGAAATCACGCCTAGAAGATTATATCCGGGTTAATCTATTATTTTGTTTTTCGATTCTGTTTTTCTTTTGTATTCATTCTCGTGTATCCAGACCTTTATTTATCTAATACGAACTAGGTTTATGATTTAGAATTGATTTAGGGTTTAAGATTTAGGATTAGTGTTTAAAGATTTGAATTTCAGATCAGGGTCTATGGTCCAATATTTAGTGTTAAGGATTAGTGTAAAATTAGAAGTACTAAGATGAGAGGAAGAGTGAAAGAGGGAAAAAAAATTTGAAAGACCACCAAAATAACCAAATAACCTAATAAAGTGGTCAATAAGTGATTAGAGTTAGAAGTATATAACATTATTTCTAGAAAATTTATCACAAACGTCAGTGATTGTGAAAAGGAAAAAAAAGAGAAACGTGAATCATGGAAACTAAAAACATCTAAAATATGAGCAAATATTATTTGTCATACTTCTCTTACGGTATCTAAAATAAGAAAATAATGTGACCAGTTTTTTATTTGGAGTTCTTGACTTATAAGATTGTGCAGTATATATATAATATTAATGACGTGAATGATGTAGTTGAAAATATAAAAAAAATCAAGTATTTTAGGTGGGACAATTTCAGAAAAATATCTTATGGAAGATATATTAAATTAAATATAAGATATCAATGTTTAATTGAGAATATGAACGTAATTGCATTAAATTAAATAGAATATATATTATATGTATAATCAATATAATAATGATATATATATATATATAAAATATAACAAAAAAATGTATAACATATCAATAATTTAATATTGCATCATGCAGAACATGGGAAGAAATGAAATTATACAGAGAGAGAAAACCAATCATTTTGAATAATACATATTATATCAATACATGGTAACACGAGACAACGATATATAATATCATATTCATATTAGTCAACAGTTCATCAGATTGCAAACACAGCCATATCCCCCAGCGTCCTCCCGTCACATGTATCCAAAGCTACTAATTTAAATATCTACAAGAATATGTGAAATTGTTAAACGGATCGGCTGGGAATCATTTTGTTTCTTTAATTCTCCTTTTAAATACACTACAGCTTAGCTAATATATAAATATATATATGTATAATCAATTAAAAACATCATTCATGTGATTCATGTACCAATTTGTTTTTATTTTTAGTACATTGTAATTAGAAATGTGATAAATGCTTTTTTTTTTTGCTGCAAGAAATAGATAATAGCTCAAAAATAAAGAGTCTATTGTAGAAATACATTGTAAAAAGCGTGAAAATATCTATCAACCTTTCCGAAATTATAAAATAAATATGTAAACGCATACAATATCCTATCAATTAATAAAAACATATAAATGAATTTTGACTTTAAATATATATATATTTTTTAGTCTGTGTTCATGATTCGTCTTCCTTAATTTCTTCTTCTTTCTCAGTTTTCCTACACGTAAGGCAGTGTTAATAGTTTTCAATTGAAATTGTTTTCGTTTTATTGAATTGAAATTTTTGGGTTCAATCCAAATTACAGGATTCAATTCGTCATATCATATATTTAATTTAAATAATTGTCTGAAAACTTGTGTGTGATATATTTTAACAAGAAGAAATAAGAAGTAATTTCATAATTTTATTTTTTATTCTAAAAACCATAAATTTTTTTAGCATTTCTCTAGCGATCCTTTTCTCCATCCGGCAAGAAACACGTAAAATAAAGGTAAATTCCCGAAGTCTGTAATTTTTCATTGCTATAATCACGGAAAGGAACTTAGTGAATTAGAACAATTTAAACTCAGGTTTAGGAGATTTAGAATTTTGAGATTGGGTTATCAATGAATTATTGCTAAATTAGGGTTTAATTTTAGCATTGGGATCTTAATTTAACTCGGTTTAGGATTCTTTATGTATGTATATAGTGTACGCTTTGGTGTATATGTGTGAATGTATACGTGTATACTTATATGGTATGCATATAACCGTAAGGATGCGCCTTTCGTGATTCGGTTTGGAATTTTAGGTGTTCGGTTCGGAAACGGTTTATTCGATATTCTAAATTTGTATCAAATTAGTAACGTATATTATTCGATTCGGTTTGATTCCGGTTTCGATATGGTTCAGTTTCGATCTTTGTTAAAAAAACTAGATTTTTTTAATAAAATTTCAGTTTTTCGGGAATTTTATAAAATTCGATTCGATTCGGTTCAGTTTTCGAGAAATTCGGTTCTATAAAAAAAATAACGTTCGAGAATTTTGAACGGTCCGATTCAGGAAAAATATCGAGATTTACCAAACCAAAACCCTTACATAACCGTATATGATGTACAAATATATATATAATTATGCATAGGTAAGTGTATAACGAAAGGTAAAGAAGAGATGATACGAACTTTAACAAGTCAAACCATACCAAATAGTATATTATTTAAATGGTTTCGTGTATGGTTGCGTCTATAAATACATAAACGCATACAGAAACTTAAGGGATAAAAAAGAAAAGAAACCTTCCTCATAAACTGTAAAGGCAACAATGGCTGCCTTCGTCGTTGATCTCCAAGTCATCTTCATCTTCATTCTCGTATGGCTCTTCTCAGCTTTCTTTCTCTTCAAGAAACCCAGAAAATCAAACGTCCGTCTTCCTCCTAGCCCACCGGCTCTACCAGTTATCGGTCATCTTCATCTTCTTCTGTCGATTCCATGGTTCAAATCCTTTCAAAAGCTTTCCTCCAAATACGGTCCTTTCCTCCATCTCCGCCTCTGCAACACCTCCATTGTTCTAGTGTCGTCAGCTTCAGTGGCCAACGAAATCTTCAAGACGCAAGACGTGAACTTCTCGGACCGTAACCATGGAGTCACCGAAAACTCGTTACTGTTCAGCGACTCCGGCTTCTTGCTCGCACCCTACGGCGCTTATTGGAAGTTCATGAAGAAGGTCGCCATCTCTGAGTTACTGGGACGGCAGTATCTCGAGAGGACTCGCGAGATTAGGGGCGAAGAGCTCGATAGGTTTTACGTTACCTTGCTTGAGAAGGCGAAGAGGGGCGAGCCTTTTGATGTGGTTAACGAGATGACGAAGCTGAGCAGCAATGGCTTGTCAAGGATGTTGATGGGAAGAAAGATGTCTGAGGAAAATGGGGAGGCGGAACAAGTGAAAGATTTGGTCGTCAAGTCGTTCGGTTTGATGAGAAAGCTGTTCTTGGCGTATGGACTCCGACCGCTCAAGAAAATCGGGATTTCGTTTTTCGAGAGGGAGATCCGAGAGGTTTCTCAAAAGTTTGATGAGTTGCTCGAGAAGATTCTGAGGGAACACGAAGAGAATCCAAACAGAGAGCAAAAGGACACCATGGATCTTCTATTGGAAGCTTACCACGACGAAAACGCTCAGTATAAGATCTCGAGGGACCAGATGAAGTCGTTTTTGGCGGTAATGTATCATCGATCGATCTTGAAATTCAATCACGTATTCTCCAAGAATGTGGTATCTATAATCATATGCCATATACCCCACAGGATATTTTGATTGGAGGCATCGATAGCTCGGCGAGATCAACGGAATGGATAATGGCAGAGCTCATCAACCATCCTAACATCCTTAAAAAAGTGAGAGATGAGATCGAATCTGTTGTCGGGAAAGACAGGAAACTCAGGGAGTCAGATGTTTCGAGCCTCCCGTACTTGCAGGCCGTCGTTAAAGAAGGGCTAAGGCTACACCCTCCGGGCCTTCTAGTGTTCAGGAAATGCCGAGAATGGTGCAAGATCCGAGGGTTTGACGTGCCCGAAAACACACCGGTTGTCATTAACAACTACGGGATAATGAGAGATCCGAACTCTTGGGAAAACCCGGACGAGTTTCGCCCCGAGAGATTCTTCGGTTCGTCCGCGGAAGAAAACCGGGAACAGAGTTTCAAGTTCCTCGTCTTCGGGGGCGGAAGAAGGGCTTGTCCCGGAGAAAAATTGGCCTATCTTTCCATAGGAGCAGCCGTAGGGACAATGGCCCATTACTTTGATTGGAAAATTGATGGAGAAAAGGTTAACGTAGAAGAATCCGGAGGCATGGACTTGGCCATGGCTCATCCGCTCATGTCTGTCCCTGTTGTCCGCTTCACTCCGTCAGCTTCTGTCTAAACGAAGCTTCTGCTACATCTGTTTGTCGCTTTGCTTCTAAATTTTTATCACTAAAGTTGTTGTTGTCGTGAAATCTGTTTTGTTATGGCTTTGATGAAATAAACGCTTTATACAACCTTTGTAGGGATTTCCTTTAAGTGTCTTTACTATCATTAATCGTTATTGGAGAAGCTTAGCTATCAACACAGACAAGCCAGAACGGACGGTCTGCTATCAACACGGACAGTATGTTCCATCACATAGAATGGACGGTCTGCGACTATTCGTGGACCGCCGGGTCTGGACCTGGCGGACCGTCCATTCCGGACTTCTGGTATGTCTGTTCCACACCCTTCCGTCTTGATTTTTCGGTCGTTTTCTCGTGCGTTTTGTCCTTCCCTGCGTGTGTGACCCTGTAGCTCATTCGATATAGCAGTATAACCCGAAATCTCTATTCCGGACATACAAGTCATAGGCGGTCTATAGCAAGACACTATGACTACCTATCTCGAATAGAGTTTGTTCGTGATCTTACGAACGCCAGTGATGATTCCGGTTGATGATCCTTTTGTATCGCGATATCATATGTCGAACATAAGGCATGGACAAGCCACCTTATCTGATTCGACTACTTTCTCGTTCACTGAGTTCGACTGTCTGAAATAGACGACGCTCGTCTATAGTGCGGCCACACATTTCTACAGTCTCGCTCACACGAGGGGCCCAGCGATAT